GAGACAGGTGAAATATTCTATAAGCAGCTGGGAGAAGTCTTGTGATCGCTAGCCCTTGTTCTCACGGGGGACTTCAACTTACCAGATGTCTGCTAGAAATACAATACAGCAGAGAGGAAACAGTCTAGGAAGTTCCTGGAGTGTGTGCAACATAACTTTCTGACACAGCTGGTGAGGGAGCCAACTAGGGAAGGTGCTGCTGGACTTACTGTTTGTGAACAGAGAAGGACTTGTGGGTGATGTGATGGCTGGAGATTGTCTTGGGTACAGCAATCCCAAAATTAGAGAGTTTTCGATTCTCGGAGAAGTAGGGAGAGAGGTCAGCAGAGCTGCTACCTTGGATCTTCCAGAGGGCAGACTTTGGTCTGTTTAGGGGCCTGGTTGACAGAGGCCCTTGGGAGGCAGTCCTGAGGGCAAAGGAGTCCAGGAAGGCTGGACATTCTTCAAGAAGGAAATCTTAAAAGCACAGAAGCAGGCCGTCCCTCTTGCCAAAAGATGAGCCAGCGGGGAAGACAACCAACCTGGATGAACAGACAGTGTTGGCTGGAACTCAGGAAAAAAAAGAGAGTTTATGACCTTTGGAAAGAAGGGGCAGGTCACTCAGGAAGACTACAAGGATGTCATGAGGTTAGGCAGGGAGAAAATTAGAAGAGCCAAAACCCAACTAGAAATTAATTTGGCTACTGCAGTAAAAGACAACAAAAAGCGTTTCTATAACTACATTAACAAAAGGAGGGCTAAGGAGAATCTCATCGTTTATCAGATGCGGGGGGAAGCATAGTGACAAAGGATAAGGAAAAGGCTGAGGTACTCATTGCCTTCTTTGCCTCAGTCTTTAATAGTAAGACCAATTGTTCTCGGGGTACTCAGCACCCTAAGCTGGAAGACAAGGATGGGGACCAGAATGAAGACCCCCATAATCCAAGAGGGGTCAGATACCAAACCCCAAGCTCTCTCAATGAGGCCTAGGAATCATATCATCAATCAATTTATTTCCTATTTAACATAAAGGATACAAAAGGACCATAGTGTGACTCTGTGGAGAAAAGAAAGATCGTTTGACAGAAATCTAAGACATAGGCAAGGAATGGGAAAGCATCTTAAGCTGCCACTCCCTGTTCATGATTTTGAAATGTCTTGGTGTTCTGGAAAGCCTAGAGGATGTGCTTTTTTATTCCATAATGACAGCCAAGTAAAGATGGGGAGACAGCCAGCAGATACACGGAACCAGGTCTGAATGCTGAGGCAGAAATCCTTCTGAAGATTTGGTGGCCAAGGCAGGGCAGGGTCACTTCCCTGACCCTGTATTTTCAAAGGCTTAGCTTCAAGTCCAGGGCAGTCACCATCCTCCCTCCCTGCCACCAGGAAAGAGCACATTGCTCTCTCCCCTTCCCAGGCCAGGTAAAACAGTCGCACATCTTAAATTCCCAGCAGAAATCATGCTTGGTAAAGTAGATAGTGATGAGAGAGAGCAGTGGATGGAGTACGCATTGCACCATCCCAGTGTTTTCTCAACTCAATCTGAGAATGGAGACTTCTTGTGGGAACTGGTAAAACCAGTCCCTGTAGCAGGGGATGTTTCTCAGTTCCTCTGAAATTCTGCCTGCCTTAGAGCGAGGCCTGAGATTACAGCCGAATTCCTTGCTTAACGTTTCACCTCACAATAAACCTGATCCTGTGTTACCTCCACATTGCATTGTGCTGAAAGAGCCCTTGTGATGCCGAATGTACAGACGCTCTGGTCAGTCATGCGTGCCGCGGGTAAGTGCTAAAAAAACCCGTACAGATCCCATACACATGGCTGGGTCAAACGCTGCCTGAACACTGTCAACTGTGACTGTCCACTTTTGTTCTACAGGACAAAAAGGTTAATAGACTGTATTTCCTGGAGCTTGAAAAGCAGCTCCAAAATACACAAAAAAGCTATCTCCAGTCAGTTATAAAAGCATACAAAAGCACAAATACTAACAAATTCAGGGAAACTGTGAGTAGTTTCTGACAAAGCAGAAGCTAACACAGTCCCCTGCTGGAAAAACACTGTAAAAACATGCTATTGCTGTACTGCTCACTTATGTCTACAGTAAACACAGATCTAGCACAGGCTGCCTGACAGGCAAGAGATGTCTAACAAAACCTGAGCAACACACTGGCCAAGAAAAAAAATAAATTGTTTGGGGAGTATCACCAGGCCTACATATAACTTCAGATTGGACATTAGGAAAAGGTTCCTCACTAAGAAGGTGGTCAGTCACTGGAACAGGCTCCCCAGGGCAGTGGTCACAGCACCAAGCCTGTGGGAGTTCAAGGAGCATCTGGAGGACCCTCTAGTCATAGGGTTTAGCTTTCGGTAGTCCTGTGAGGGAGTTGAACTCGATGATTCTTATGGATCCCTTCTTACGGAAACCTTCTGGGTTTCATTCACATACCGCACTCCGCATTCCTTGGACTGGACGCGTAGCAGTAAGGAAAAGCTTTCTCACTCCATCAGTCTCCATTGCCTTTTAGATGCCAGCCTAAAACCATCCTCACGATCAGAGGCCCTGCTTACGCAGGGGAGAGTCAGAAGGGTACAACGAGGAGTGCACAGGAGCCTTGGCTTGTTAGCAATGGCCATGTCAATTGGAAAGCCAACAGATATGCCTGCAGGCGTACACGGCACAGCCAGGCAAATGGGGGACCAGGACAGATTCATAGCTGCTCAAGACCCTTCTTGGGGTAAAAGCACAGAAGTAAGCTCTGCCGTGCATAAAGGAGACCCTGGGCACGTTCAACAGAGAGAACATTTAGGAACTAAGGATTGCATCTGAGCAAATTTTGGACTGCTAAAACCTACACTATGGAAATAGGGACACAGTTGCAACTGTTCACAGTACTCACCAAACTGTAGCTCTCATTTCCTTCTACCACCACAAGAATTAGATCTGGGCCTGAGCAGTGGCTTGAGGCCAGCCGCTCAAATTAATTAAAAGTTCAGGAGGTTAATTTAGTTCCAGATCCAGGCTCAGCTCCCCTTCCAAGATGATATTTGATTCAAAGGAATTAAAGAGAAAGCTCGAGTGCAGAGCACACAAGGTAGAACATGGCAAGCCTTTTCCAGATTATGAAGCCTGCCTTGCAGAGCAAATTCATCTCAAATTTAATCTCAGCATTTCTTCAAAGTGCAAACTCCGCAGGTCTGGGGCCCTTCAGCGTCAGCACTGTGGGATGCCTGGTGTACATACAGCTACACACACACTTCACCCACACCTCCCCTATTTTAGGCCACTCACTTCCATCATCAAGTTGCTACGTGCTCCTTCTTTTCCCATCCCTTGCCCTATCATAGCAAGCAAAGGTGTCCACTACAAGTGGGTTAACAGCAGGTTCCGCACCTAAAATTCCGAGCCTACTACGTGGAGCAGCTCCGACAGGATATAAATTAAATACCCCTTGGACAGGCAACAGCAGTTCGGGACACAGCTGAGCCCCTCGGCTAAAATGGTGGTGCCTGGAGGAAAGCCTATTTAAGAGTGCAGGGGTGAGGCAAAAGTGTGAGAAACGCCCAGGTCAGAGACGGGGAACAAGGTGCTCCGGAGGCTGGAGCAGGCTCCAGCCCCTGGAGGAGACCACGGCGAAGCAGGTCGCTCCCCTGCAGCCCACGGGGGCCCGTGCCAGAGCAGCTTTCCACAGCGCAGCCGGTGGAGGAGCCCGCACCGGAGAAAGAAGCTGCAAGCCCACAGAGGGCTGGCTCCTGGCAGGAGGGGGAACCCACCCGGGAGTGGGTTTCTCATTGAAGGACTGCAGGCTGTGGAGACGACCCACACCAGAGCAGGGAAAAGCAGGAAGGAGGAGGAGCAGGAAAAAGGAACCGTTAGGGACAGACCGCCATCCCCACTGCCCCACTCCCCACGCCCCTGCGCTGCGTGGTGGGGGGAGAGGGGAAGACAGAGGCCTCGGGAATGAAGGAGTGAAGTTCAGCCTGGGAAGGAGTGGGGTAGGGCAAAGGCGGCTTAGTTCTTCTCTTCCCTGCTCACCATCCAACTCTATTTTTAAACGGCAAGAAATCAGTGTATTTTATCTCAGCCCACACGCTTTTCCATCTTGTTCCTTCTCCCGTCTCCCGCTGGGGAAGAGCAGTAAGAGAGCAGCTGGGTGGGGGTCTGGCAGCCAGCCACAGTCAACCCACCACAATAAAACACTCCCAAAAGGAAAACCCCCGCAACACTTAAGGTGACAAATAAATGACGATTTCCAGTTGTGGGAAATACCTGTCTTTACAGTGATAAACCAAGAGAAAAGTTGGAAAATACAGTATTTCTTCCGACAAATGTTATAAAATGCTGTACAAAAGTTCTCTGTTAAGCTGTACCTCCTTGCTAAACTAAGCTGGAATAGATACATTATTTCACACATCTAAGCTGTTATTACCCGCTTCAAATGCTTTGTCCAAAGCCTGAAACCATCTCTGCAAACGAAGGGCTCCCTAAACTTTCCTTCACCCATCCCATCATCCTGCATAAAGCAAGAGCAGTGGTGTTCCTATCCGTAAAAATCATCCCCCTCCCCTATTTCAGGTAGCACCAAATAATGTCCCTATGATACACACTCATCACGAATTTCAGGTCTATTCAGTTAAATCATGTACAGAGACAAGGACTTCAGTTTATTTATGCAGTGATTTGATGTTCTAGTGTTTCCTTGATTTCCTCCCTTTCATTATCTTCTGTCTTTGACCTCCTCCCTCTCTTACATCACCCTCGCATGCCAGCTTGCCAAAGAAAGCAAAAATTCCTCAGTGCCAGACAGTTAAGATCCTCACCCCTCTGAACAAGCTTTAGTTAGTTTTGTTTTCCAGGCATCAATTTTCTATAATAATAAAAGACAATGAAAAAGCCCTTTCGAGACAGTATAAAAACTATTAAATAGCAGAGGTTATTTATATGAAAGGTCAAAAAATCAAAGCAATTTTCCTTCTTAATCTCATGGCCCACATATTAGATGAAATGTAACACTTCATAGGGTAGGGGAAAAATCATGGTTTAATTACAACAATGTAGCATCAACACTTTAGTAGTCCATAGCAGGGTATTATTGTGACGTCTAAACTAAACTTGAGTTCTCCACAGATACTGTAAACAGACACTCTAAATTCCCTAAATGATTGGCATTAAGAAGGTTTATACAAAGGTGGTCAGCTTTCCATCTTTAGGATGTCATGACATGGTGAGACAAACACGCGAACATCAGTAAGTACAGAGAAATGTTATGCTACATTTTGGACAGTTCAGAACTGAAAGTGCTTCACATCTACAGGATAAGAAATGGCTTCATCTCCTCATCCCTAAATGATGAGAGCAAAGAATTAACCCTTTAATAGGTTAAATAAACAGTGCCCCATTTATCCATGCTTATATAAAGTTTCCAACAATTCAGAAGGTCCATGGTGAAATTTACAATCTATATACAGTATAACAAATTGTCAAAGAAAAAAGAAGTTGATACTCCTTGGTTCCCAAAAGCCTGAAGCTCACTCTCTGCACTAGAGACAAAAGCTATCTACAATGCTAGGTTTTTTTTCTTTTTTTTTTTTTTTTTTTTTTTGTAAAAATTAGTCATCCCAATCCACCTTGAATAAAATCAGTCCCTAAATCCTGGTCATATTTACCAACTGCTTAATCCCAGTGTTTAAGGCATGTTCGTTAGATGTTGGTATGGGGGTACTGTCAGAAATCAGAATAATCACAGGTGCTAAGAGTCAGCAAATTTACATAGCAATGTCACTCTTTACATTATAATGTAAAACAAATTGTTATGATGGAAGTTGTTCCTGAGTTAAAATTTGCTAAATACTGCTAAGATTAATGTTGTCCTTTTATACTTTTTCCTCTGGAAAGTCCTTTCAAATATGCTCAACTGCAAATTAAAATTCACTGTGAAAGTAGCCTGAATGTCAGAAAGTAAAAATGTTAGCAAAATTCTAATTATATCGGCATTCCCAAGTCTAAATTTAGCCAAGATGCTACAAATTTTGCAGTGTTTAGTATCACTTAGCTTTTAGCAAGAGTATTTTCTAAATAGGAAGATAAATATAAATGTCAGTCCACATTTTTATGCAACTGCAAACAACAGGAAGAGACTTTGGTGTCAAGAATTATCACAAATTTAAATAACTGTGAATATAGCTAACTCCGATACTGTAGACATTTTTAGTTTTCTTATCCAGTCTCCTCATTTAGAATTAAAGGATTAAATTTTTAATTTAAGAATTAAATTTTTAAATTGCAGGAGCACAAATTAAAATACTTACAAATATATTCAGCTTTTAAAATCAGGCAACTAATTGTCTGTTCAGATTCTTAAGTATCCACTCCCACAGAATTGTTTCTCAAGTAGGTAATCATTGTCATTCTTTCCTATTTAAAAAAGCTGTTATCGACTGAGAAAAGTGGGTAGCTTTAAAAACAGATTTTTCATTAGATTCAAAATGTGCATGACAATTCTTACCACCCTATTTATCCTGGCTCTAACTCACTGAAGTTCATATAAACATTTGCTCAAGTCCGAGCATTAAATTCAACAGGAGTTAAAGGGCACTAGAAAATCAGGATGACAAGAGGTGTGACTCAGGTCTGTGCTATACCTACACTTCTGACTGTCAACTGAAGAAAAGCCCCCACAGAAAATTGCACCATCTGGAGTTTAATCCAAAATCTGCTGAAATCAATGAAACACAATGAGCTTTAATGGGATTAGCATTTTAAGCGCTCCAACTGAAGCTCGCCATTTGCAGTGATGTCGCATCTCCTATTTTAAATACAAGATTGCAGTAATTGCACCTATCAGACTAGGGAATAAATGTTCATTATGTATTTTCAAATCTGTCAGCAGTGCAAATTATGAATTACAGTATGATTTAAAAAAAAAAAAAAAAAATCTTACTTCCAGATTTGTTTCCATTTAAATCCTAGTAGGACAGAAACCAGCAACACGCTGAGAACGCCGGGTGGGTCAGGAATGACTGCTTCCACAGTCTGGGAATTCCAGACTGGGAGTCTTACATAGTGGTATCAAAACAAAGCTCTGAATGAAGTTTGGCCTAGCCCATGTGTCTTATGCACAAAGGTTAGCTAAAACTTAATTGTTATGACCGTAAAATATAAATAGCAACAATTTATTCACAAAATTCTGGATTAGATTGATTTTTGTTGTTGTTGTTTTAACAAACTGTATGATCTATTAAATTATCAGCCAGCTGTATGTTTAAGCACAACAATAGAAAATGTAGTACATAAACACTTAAAAATCACAGTCATAAAAAGGAGGCAAGTACATCAGTCTTTTGGTGGCCAAAGCACAACAGATTAGTCTGCCAAACAAGTGTACATGAACGTGAATCATGGGCATTACTTTTGTTAAAAATTGTTTCTACTGTCAATAAGCAATTTTCTGTATTGTAATACTGTTCTTAAAGACTTGTAAACTGTTTAAAAATGTATGCACAGACATAAATAACAGTGAAGGATTTAAATACAGTGGTCAGGTCAACAGGAAAAACAGGTTTTTAAATTTGCATCTGTGATGAGTGGGTAATTTGGAACAAATCCCTAATTACCCACAAAGAACTCTGACCTTTCTTAGGTAAGACAGTACTGCCGTCATTTCTAACACTTGTGACCATTATAATAACAAGAGAAAAAAATAACATATCAGCCCTGATACATCAATCACATATGCATTCAAAATTACAGATATTTACAAGAAAAATATATATTTAATTAAAAAGCCACTGAAAAACAAGGACTTTTAGTCAGGTGCTGCACGTTCTGCAAAATGAGGTAATTTAGATGCAAACAAATTAAGTTTAGTAGAGTTCAGAATCCACGGTCTCCACACTTAAAGTATAGATTGCTTCAGTAAATGGCTTGACTGTTTCTACATGTTCAGAGCAAGAAATCACTAGAGATCCAGTTAAATCCTGTTTTGTAGTGCTCCTGATGCAACACTGACTAATGTCAGAAGGCTTCCCAACTCAGTTTTACAACTGGTCTTTCAATAGAAAGAAAAAGGAAAAAAAAAAAAAAAAAGGAAAAAAAAAATAGTTATAAATTGGTTTCATCCCAAGATGGATCATTCATGTTCTTTAGAACTTTTCTAACAAGCTTCTCCAAGTCCTTGCGAGCTCTCTGTTCTTCTTCTAATGATTTCTTCATTTTTTTGTTATCCTGTTTAATAGAAACAGAAATATTACTGGTTTGGTTTTTTTTTTTTGGTTTTTTTTTGTTTGTTTGTTTTTTGTTTTGTTTTGTTTTTTTTTTTAAAAGATCTTTTCTGACCACACATTGTTAATTACAAATTCCGAAGGTTCTTCTCAGTAAGACTGCTATTAGTTGTTCAAAAGCAAGGCCTTCTATTAAAATTTCACAAGCTACAGTTACTTCACACAATGCAACAGAAAACACCGAATGGAAACTGAGCTATTTCCTATTTACACATAGGGATCCTTTATAATCCAAGTGCTAGTAACAGATGGCAAATAATCTTGAATTCTTCTGCTCAAATCTGATCAATGAAGAGTAGAATATATTTATTGTTAATGGAGAAGGGAAATGGAGCAAGAAGAAGAATAAATATCCCCTCTAAGAGCCTCCCGTGATTATAACTAGTTTCACAATCTCAGAAAAGTTCCTTAAAACTTAATGCAAATTAACTTGCTTTATTAGGAGAGTAAATATTTGAAAGGAGTATCTTGAAAACCATTATGGTCCCTGGCAAGTGTTTTGTGACTGAATTTTACACCAGACAGATGACTACCAACAGTCTAAGCGGAATTTGAGTTTCAAGGAACACCACCCCTCTGCATGTGTATTAACGAGCGAGTCGCTTCTCGATATTTAGCACCATCAGGTAATACTGAAATACCATGAACGACAGGACCACGAGGACGTCACTGACCGAACCACAGTAACGCTTATGTGGCTGAATCCTGCAGAGGCCAAGGTGATGCTGGCAACAGCAGGGAAGCGATCAGAAGGTAAGACAACATCATATGAAGGCGCCAAGACAACAGGTCTACAGGTGTTTAACAAACACAGGTCTGCGATCCAGGGCTCTCACTGGACTCCCATCAGCTGCCATCTACAGACTTTTCTAGAAATGGGATGGGATCAACAGCTGCCACGGCATTAACTCCATTCCCTCCTCAAGTCTGCTGAGAAATTCAGGAATTTCATTCTTTTCTTGTAGGTACAGAACTTTGTTTGTTTATTTATTTACTGCTAATTCAGGACTGCACTACTCGAATGTGGCACCTGTGGAGCAGCAGCTACAAACCACCTATGGAAGCTGCTACGGGAGGGATCCCACTTCTCACGGCAACTCTCACCAAGAGGCCGCCTGGTGCCTACACCGCCCAGAGCACCGGGTGCTCCCAGAGGGCCTTTATCGATAAAGTCCTTGGTCACCTGCGACCTTCCCAGCTCCGAGATCACTTCTGCCACTTCTCCAGCTGGCAACATCACAGCAGCAGACCAGTAAATGCTTCTAAGCTGAGGTTCCTGATACACAAGAAAATGAACTTGGGCTTTAATAGGTCTTGGCTTTGGAAGATGCGAGATTCTGAAGAGACCGTCTATTTGGAAAGGCACCAGAAAAGGGAGCTGCTGCTTGAATTTCAGGAGAAGGTGACTTTTTCTTTAGGGTAGGATCTGCAGGGCCTCAGTGAGGCAGCACGTCTATCCTTTGTACAAAAGCAGCCAGGCCACAGGAATATTAGTGGGTTGTTATTGCTGCTTGTATTACGTGAATTGTACTTTAAAAAAGACTGTCATATTTGCATCAAACCTGGGATACACAGGATTTTTATGTTGAAAACAGCAGAATTTAATTATTTATGACATCAACTGTCCTATTTCGATGAACACGCACGACATCCTGAGGAATACCGGGCACACTTACAGATGGGCGAAGAATTTGGATTCACATTTATAGCCCAAAACCTAAAGTAATTTGAATACAAATCCATTTTACATTAACACAGGAGATTTCATCCAACTTCCCAAGACAGAACTGTTAAGGCCAGTTAGCAAATCCACACACTGGAAAGTGAGGATAATTCAATGCTTTTTCACCTACACATCAAGCAATGACTACGCACAGCAGCCTTAACACGGTTTATAGAGAGTGTGTCCTGACAAGGAAAAGGCATTTTTAAACACTTCATTTTGGATACTTAAAACATCAGCTGCAACTTCCATACCAGCAATTCTGGGGAGCTGTGCAATATCTCACCTATGTGACAAAGCAGCACCCTAAGCTAACCTGAAGCCCTCATTAAAAAAAGGCCACGTGATAGACACTGAAAAGGACTCTCGTCTCTGGAAATGAGGGGTTTTAACAACTGATTCAGAGAAGCGTCCACGTTACTGAAAGACCACGAATAAAGGCCTAAACAGATCCAGACATTCATACTACTAAAATTAAACATTCTAGAGCAAATACTGTTTCACAGTCTCTATAAGCTTATTTTGCTGGTGATACAGTAGAACTGAATTTGCTTAATGCTTTCAACATTTCACAAGTTGTAACATCCAAAAATAAATGAAACATAGCTTCGTAAGCCACCTCAGAGAGAGGATACTTAACATTATTCTCAAAGGTTGGTGCTCCAAGGACTGATGACAACCACAAAAGAGGGTGCTTTTTGTCAAACTGCCATGTTTTGGTTTTAAAAGTGAATCTAGTCCAAAATTCAAGTTCGTTCCTGTCAAAATGAATCAACTAGAAAGCCGTATTTATTTTTATAATAAGCCTTCCATCTTTCCATTCTTCATGTTGCCATAAATGTAGCAAGTTACCAACCTGTCTTAACTCCTGTACTTCATCCTTTAATGCATATACTGTGTCAACAAGGCTTCTAAAAGGAGAAAAGAAGATGATCTGTTACAACGGTTTTCAGAAGTACATGTCTAAATCTATTATTAGACTAAACTGTTAAATGAAATGCATTAACCTCCCCTCCCCCCAAACGACAGCTAACAGCCCATTTCTAACGTTGGATGAAAAAATTGTCCTTTATCCTGATTTTTATTCAGTAAGGCAAGGACCCATTACCAGCTTCTGTGACAGGGATACACCTCTCAAGCACACATGGACCTATACTGGTTTCTATATTACAGCTTTCTGTAACAGAACTGTATTTAATTTCCAGCATACACCTCACCAAAAAAATAGAATGACACCACACACTAACTAGAAAGATGACACCAATTTAATATTGAAATCCTACTGCACTTGGAAATATAATATACAAGGGAAACGTATCACTTCTTGGCACCAAAGGAATAAGTTGCATAGGATATACAAAGAAACCAGACCACAAGCATTTAAGTGAACACCAATTGCACTGAAAGGACTAGCAGCATAATCCAAACGGCTCTCTTCCCTACTACAAATATACCATACACACACTACTATAATGGAAGACGGGAAGAGGAAGAAGAGTGCAAAGATTAGTGGTTTAATCCATCATTCATTAAATGTTCTCTTACTTCTCTTCTATAACAGTCTGACCATTACTTTTAGTTTCTTCTACAATAATTTTTTCTTCCTCTGGAAGCAGGACTTGAGGAGCCGATTCTTTACGGGAACCTGTTGTAAAAATAAATTACAAAATGAGCAACTCACAGATATTGTTGGGGCATTTTAAAGATTATTATTTCACTCGTTTCATGATACATCTGCATGACCAAGGTATATCACTTTCCATCTCCCCCTTCCCTCCACACACACAAGATACTGACACATCTTTTACATTTGAAACCACAGCCTTGCAACAACAAAAAATTGTCTGACGTTCCTATCCTGTGGCTGACAGAACTCCTGTGTCATCGATGGGGACGCTACACCGTTCAGCTACCAGTAAAAGCTACACGATTTCACCATATCTGACTTGGAAAGAGACAGACGTGTTTAAGTAGCAGCGATTTAAGCCTCAAGGACAGATTCTGATCTCACACTGCTACAAATCCAACAGTTCCACTCTAAATCAATTAATCTATCAGTAAAGAGCAGAATAGTGGTATCAAATGATACAGCAGTGGAAGAAAAGTTAACCCCCCTTTCCCCTGAAACACTATAAACAACACAACTGTGTGTGTGTGTACACACATATACATACACATACACTTAGAGATAGCCTTTCAGTTCTATAATAAATTCCTACCGAATTAAATACATACTTTGTATTTAATAAATGTTTTTAGGAGCACTTAATGGTTTGACAATAAAATCTCAAAACATTCCAACATCTTCCAAACATTTTCTACAAGCATCGTAATTTGTAACATCAAGATAATACATATAGATTCTAAAAAAGTAACTCTGAATAGAAAAATGTACAGCTCAGAGATGTGCATCCATTCATACATACATAAAGTATGTATTCTAGAAATGTTATTTAATCAGGCCTCAACAAATTACAAGCATTTTTTTTTAAAGAAGGTCTGTGAATAAATTGCCGTCTAAGCATTTGTTCAGAATTCAAGCACAGCAGATAAGGCATTAAAGTTCTTGCATATTTTAACCAAGACACCAGTTTTAACAAACAAGTTACACTTGCCTACCAATTCACTGTAATGACTTTCATAAATCAGGAGTGTCTTAAGTCTAGTACAGTTTGAACTGGTAACTAGGTGATTTCTCCTGACACGCCTGTCAGGAGAAATCAGTTAACTCTTGCTGAACAGCTGCTTTGAGAAAACTGCTTTTCTTTTACGGTTCATAATAAAATACATAATATAAACACACAAAAAAATTAAAAAGAACCCAAGTCCACCAAAAAATACTAACTTCCCTAACAGGTGCAGTCTTGAGTTCTGAACAAGAAGCTTGCAGGGACTGTAGTTGAGCAGAACATGTTAAACTAGTTAAACTATTTTAGCAAACTGATAAACACCCTTGAATGAAGACAAGTTTCCTTAAGCTGACAGTAAAGATCTAATGTACCAGTACGTGACGGTCAGAATTTTATGGAACAAAGGTAACTGCAGATTTGAGAACAGAATCTCGTCCTTGAAAGCTGTAAGTTCTTCATCTTACAGAGTGAAGAAATCTTTTAAGGGTTAATACCCTTCCACTTATTTTCCAGGGAAGAAACAACCTATAAAACAAGCATATCCAAACTCTGTAGAGAGCTCAAGGACATTTCCCTGTTTGCGCTGTCGATCTCTCATTATAAAAAGTTATCTTTATTTCCGTTAATTGGCTACCGCTCTATTAGCCCAGTAGCATAGAACACCCAGGTAAATGTTACTTTAGAAATTAACTGGCAGCAGCTGCTACCAGACCGCTACATTTTGGGTCTCTGTACCAATGTGGAACACCTCAGCCCAGCACATGCCGAGGGAGACACTTGACCAAAGTGAACCACCACGTGTTTCTCACCCATGACTCCCTTCAACCAAACGGAGCAGCACATTGTATTTATCTCTGTACAGAGCTGCATCCAATTGTCTTTGCCTGGTCAGAGTAGCATGGGTCCTTGCAAAGCAGAAACAGCATGGGGTAGACAGCTTTAAAAAAAAAAATGTCCCAGCTGCACAGTTATATACACACATGCATGTAAAACAGATGTCTACACCAGCGTATCTTGATGTATGTACAGCGTAGCACAGTAAGCAATACTAGTGAAACACAGAACGCGGTTCCATTAAAAACAAAATGTTCACCAACATTGTACACACAAGGAGAACACACAGTACACATACACACTCACATGATGCAAAACTGTTGCTGTGAACACTGACCTTACTGTGCCACAAAACATTAACTACCGTTGTATTCAGGACATCACAAGTTTCACTCTTGCCTTCATTGCTCTGATATAAATAAAAAAGTTGCATGACCGAGGGTATCTCAGAACCCTCGTTGCTCTTATGGTTTGTACTTATGTAAAAAAAAAAAAAAACCACTTTCTCCTTTATCTTCATTTGCTTTCTGTGAGTTTTGGTGGGGCTTTATTGTTTTGTTTATTGTGGATTTTTTTTTTTCCCTAAACCCTACAAACACTTGTTAAGTATCAAAAGTACAAACACACAGCACACCTAGTCTGTAACAAAGGACCCTCTCATCAAATGAGTATGTGCACTAACATCAGACATGATGTGTCAAGTTCTAAAAGCAAAACAAAGCTACTTCACTATCCTGCTTTTCTGCACCCTTTATGCCAGAAGGTTTTTTCTCTCTCTTTCCCCCCTCCCCCCCCTTTAAAACATTTTTAACGATGCATTTTCTGGCAATTATTCATCTAGAAGGAACTTCTAGCAGAGTCATCTCATTGCTGGCAATCGACAATATTTCCTAAATTGCACCTTATGCGTCCACCAGGTTCTTTATGGGTATTCTCTATGCGACCATTTCTCTCCAGAAAAGTTTACAAGCTAGGACATGAAGAGAGGTTTGTGTTACAGCACAGTGGGTGTTTCACACAGAGTTCTACTATAAGGACAGTCTAGAAAGTTCCTGCCACTTAGATAATCCTAAACACCTCTTTGAGACATAGTCCACATTTTCATGAAGTAGGGCAGAAGCAGCAAAAGTTATTTCAGTTTGCCGTACCTGCCATTCCTCAACCCTAAGCATCCAAGTCTCACACTGAATTTTACTATGAGAGACTACTCAGTCTTGTTCCAAGTCAAACAGACCAAAAGACACTGAGAGAAGGGAAGAAGGATAAAAAACCCCACAAAACCCAAGCTTTACAAAACAGGGTTACATTTTAATTTTTGGGAGCATTGGGAAAGTAAGGTAGATGGGAGAAGAAAGGACGTTTGGCAAACCCAGACTATTACAAGATTAGCAAACAAATGTTAAGTCTGAGTAAATTGTAATAATTTTTCAACATGGAACTCCTATATCCAGGGTCTTGGAAGAATGACCCCAAGTTTAGTCTACTGCATACTTAAGGCAAACCAACTGACCACTGCAATCAAGATTCAACTAAGTTCCCATCAATCAACTTCCATCAAGAAAACAAAGGTATCTGCCGTTCAATATTAATGTATCTCCCAGCCCTAGAGTGAAGAATAAAGAATTACAATACTTTTTGCCAACATCATACCCTAAATTATAGGTTTAGCAAATTTAGCCTCCAGAGTGAAGCAAATAATAACACAGCCCACCTGCACTCAGACCAGGGTGAGAGACCTCAGCACTACCCACCGCGTAATGCGGTGCCACACCTGAGATACAAGGACAGGCCTGGGGGCAACAGCCCCCTGCTTCTAGTTTTCAGTGTCTGATCCCCTTTCCAGCCTAATCAATCAGCCAGACCAGCAAGCAGTTCTGGAAACAAGGAAAGCTGTTTGGGTATTTACGCGGCTGAAAGACTTCATGACCTAAGTTCACCTTACACCTGTCTGAAAGCAGCAGTACATCTCTCCTAGCCCTGCAGTACGGTCTTAACACCAAAATGCGAAGAAACTAGAGTGCAGACTGAACGCCACAGAGTTTCTCAGTGATGTTTGCCTGCAAGCCCAACTGCACAACCCCAGCCTTTTATCCACTCTCCTCCAAAGGGAGAGTGACATCTTAAAAACCGGTTGATAAGGTACCATGCTGGTTCCTGGCAGAAGCCAGGCTTTAGGAGCAGCTGTACTGGTATTCGGTCTGGTCCTCCGTTCTGAATCATTCAGCAGACACATGTGAAGAGATTCCAGAAGTTTTGCACAGATCTTAACGCATCAGGCAGGAGGGAAGGAAGAGACGAAGGGGGATGAAGTTCAGATACCTTTTCACTTTAACCAGATATTAAATCTCCACCTATGTTCAAAGACCTTGTCTGTCCAGGAACCATTTAAGCCCACAGTAAAATGCAGATGGGTATGCGTTATCACCTGCTTAAAGCAGCCAACCTTCGGGCCTCAGTTAAAAGCCAGCTCTCCCCAGGTCATCAAGAACAGGGATTCTTCCTCCGGCTGGCCGTTTGGAGGAGAAGGCTCAACCTAGGTTCCTTCACAGTGATACCCTACAGAGAGTTTGCCTTCTTCCAGTGACTATGAGGGTCCTAATTTAAGCTACGGAAGTTAGACACGTGTGATGGTGGTTAATTTTAAGAAATGCACAGCATAATTTGAGGCCATCAGCAATGCCTCTTGTTGCACAGCTTTTAAATATTGCTGCTTTCTTCACTTTTTCATACCTTTATCGTGATTAGGAGAGGTAAGGAACAAGGCACAATAAAAGTCAAAAATTAGAAACAGTACTTGTAAATACACAATTCTGGTTTTCACCAACTTCACTCGGCTCTCTTCATAAGCTAAGAAGCAATTGGAAATTATTTGCTTGAGCTTCAAAGACAGAAGTCTGACTTGTCACTGAGAAACAATTATGTGCACACACAGCTGTTTAGATCTACTATTAGCCACCGGTATGTATGGACCTGTAAACTTCCTGGAGAAGCAAATGTTAGACAAAAAAATAAGAATTACTTCTCATTTAAAACATTCAGTGTTCCACTGCATGACATTGCATTGCATTAACATTAAAGACATTAAAGTGGATGAGCAGACCTGCCAAATTAACCTTCTCTCAGTGAATCTCTGACGAGGTCTTAATATGAAGAACCCTAAAAATGGTGCTCCCAGACTCTGCGAGCGTTGAGATTAAAGCATTGAAAAAAATTCCTTCGTGCTACAGATCTGCCAAAGTCAAAAGGGAGCTCTTTAATATCTTTGTATAGAAAATAACAAATCAGAATCCAAACATGAGGTCAAACTTAAGTCACTGTATAAAATACATCATTGTTTGAAAATTCTTGGGAGTGACAAAAAAAGTTTTGGCATGAAGGTTTTTTTGTTTGTTCGTTTGTTTGTTTTTTATAATTAATAGTGATACACAAATAGGCAAAAAAACCCCACATGACTCAGATGACAGATCTATGCAGTTTACAGCAAAATGTTTTGATGAGTAAAATGAAAATAATTGGACTGAAACACATACAACTCCGTATGTAAGTGTTAAGTCATATGAGAACAGAATGAAGAGTCTGAAAGACAAGATACACCATCTGAGTAAGTGGGATATTTCTAAGGCAACATTTGGAAAGAACTATCCCACAAACTTCCTATACTTTACTAAGCAATACAAAAACTTCCAACCAGAGGACTGTTGGGCTAAAACTAGAGTTGCTGCAATCATAGCAAAAAAAGTTTTGGTATTCTAATAGAAGTAGGCAATTATTTCATTTATTCTGATGTAAACATTTTAGTATGCATATTTGGTTATAGTTTTATTTAAATTCACTCAAATATGAGCATCTTTTAGGTAGAAACACTAAAGATCACTCTTGTTTTAAAGAGAAAAATATTGTAATATTGAAAATATGTAAGGTGATAGAAACCAGTATCATATTCATAAAATTTCTCTCTAGTAACTAGACCTGCAGAAGTAGGTTTTAGATTGTTCCAGTAATTCAGTCTGTGCTTTTACTGAGAATACACCAATCCAAAAAATGAAAAAGAAGAAAATAAAATCAATTAAGGGGAGAGGGAGGCAACAGAAGAAGATTCTATAGATGGCAACATCTCTGAATAGTTATTTAAAAAACAAACAAAAAAAAAGAAGATATAGATGGATACATACTTCACATTACATTGAATTTCCTGTAGTTGTCAACTACATTAAACAAAGATCACACACTTAAGTCAAAAAAGCTCTTTCACTTCAACATTTGATTCCTCCGGGAAGAAGGGAGGGAGAGAAAGGAGGCATGGGGAGAAGAGGAAGTGTTAAGTTACAAGTTATGCTGTCCTTTCCCCCTGTGTAATAATTAAAGTCACAGTCTAGCAAATGCAAAATTTATTTCAACTGTACATAACAGATGTCCTTTTTATATAAAACAAAACACTTGATATATGCAACCACAAACAATATGCATACTGTACAGTACAATGCAACATTCAGATATACATCCATTTTGTATTTTCAAAAGGCAGTCACCTACTAAAGATGGCTTCTCCCATACACAAATGAAGTGCACAATATATATTATTTTTCCTATGTTTTACGTCACTATATACACAGTACTGTGTTTTGGCAAGACTATGCAAAACACCCAATCAATATTGGTTGGTTTCAATTTATGGAAAATACTAATTTATGGAAACACTGTGTAAGCCATGTGAAGAAGGGCTGACAATGGCCTGAACCTACCTTCCAATTCAGTCTCTCCATCCTTCCAGTGTATTTGTAACTGTACACATATAATTTACAGAATTGCATAAACATAAGGTACTATTATTACCATGACTGAAGTTCCACAAAAATAGAAACACTGAACCTTTGGACTGAATACCACCATTTCCACATTTGCCTTTTTTGTGAGTTTGTTTTTTACATTTTTTTTTTTTAATTTTTTTCTTTTTCTTTTTTTTCTCCCAAGCATTTTGCATTAATTCTCCTGATCAATTCACAATAGCTTATGGTCTGTAACACTGAAGACATGGAATGATTTTAAATGCACGGTGATGTTAATATGAGGATGCAGAATATGAGAGATCTTAATTATGATAATAGCTACTGACTTAAATGCTACAATAATTAATGGTGGTAAACTGTCAAAGCTTTGGTGCATAGAAAGTCAATAAAATCTTCAGATCTGGATAACAAAACATTCTGTGTGATAAGGAAAATTCAAGTGCAACAACTGTATTACAAACTCATATTTACACTATATAACATGAAACAGACATAAAGGAATTATTATTTATCCAATGCAGAAAACAGTTTTCAACTAGAACACCACAGTTTAAGAAACAGGAAAAAAAAAAACAAAAACAAAAACAAAAACAACAATCCATACTTTCCATATATGTTAAAAGAAATCCCCAAAAACTGACTGAAAGGAAGAGGGGAGTGAAGTGAGTTACAAATGTGCTGTGGAATGGTATGGAGCACATGTACTTATTTCTCTAAGCAACACTCCTCCACTTTGAAAGAAGTTTAACATACACAAGTTCCTGGTCATTACATTAATACAGGACTGGCAGCAAAATGTACCCCCTGAAAGCCCTCCTCAGTAAGCACTGCTGCTTTTGTTAGTCACATTTCTGAATGCCAACAACAGTGAGAGAGGATGAAGCAGGTGATCAAACAAGACTGAGTAAGGCTGCAGATGTGAACTGCTTTGAAATAGCTTCTCTATGCTGACCACCTTCTGGAATCATGCATATCTAGCAACTACTAACTGTCTGATCATGTAACCTGCTGAAGGTATTGATTACCTTTTAAACAGTGCTATCCAAGTTCCCAGACGGCAGTTAAATGCATCTTGATTATTCTGAACTCGTTCACAGAGTAATACCTGAACACTGAGTAACATGCTTACTCGAAAAGGGGCAAGGGAATTGCTTTTGGGGACCTCGGTGAGAATGAAAACTGTTTCTGTCCTTTCACCACATGCTTTTCCCTAATACTAATGAAGATTTAGAAGACATGGCGTTTTTGTTTTGATGGCAATTACGTTATCCACAAGACAGAACACACACACTTCACCCCAGCAGTGCCCCAGGTGCAGGTTCGAGACCCTCAGCTGTGCACAGCATGTCACAGTTCTCTGCAAAGCCAA